CCAGTAACAGACCTAAAGTGGCTGTGTGCAAACATTGCTGGAGCCCTGTGACTCCCAGGTCTTCAGCTCAGTGTTCAATTGTGTCTGCCTTTTCACTAGTGGTGACGATGACCTCTTTACAAGAGACACTCTGCTTTTTATTCTTATCCCCATTAGCTGCTGTGGCTCTTGGTCTCCGCTTTCTGCAGGTCATTAGTATAACTCAATCACTGTCTTTGTGATCCCCACGTTTTTCAAATCCCTTTCCCATTGCACCTGCCATAGCTTTCCCTTCCACCAGGATGTTTTCTCAGTTCACTACCAATGAGAACATTAGCAATGGAAACACCCCCTAGAGCCAAGGACTACTGCTGACCACATATCCCTTAGGATGGCTTCCTCTCTGCCTTCTGGGTGCTGGGTGAGCCAGTCCCAAATTACCATCTGACTGCCTGGTTTCTCAGACCACTCACTTATGACTTGTGCTAATCCACAAGTCATAGTAACTGAGAAACAGTTACTAACATGGGATTCAATGTGCAATGATTTCATTGAGGAAAATGCTTGTGTGAAAGAAAATAGGGAGCTGTGGAAGTTGAGAGACTACCAGACAGAGAGAGAGCGCAGGAGAGAGATGGTGCAGATTGAGATTGGATAGAGTTGCCTAAACTGCTATGAAATCCGAGGAAGGTCTGGTAATGCCTTCACGAGTGCTTGAGCCGGGCTGTTAAGAGTCCTGTGTCTACCAGCATTGGGTCTTCCTTAGTTTCCCCAATGCACTTGGTCACAGGTGGGGAGCACCCTGAGGGGCCATGGGCTTGGTGCAAATGAGTTTCAGAGGGCAGCAGCTGATGCTCTGGGTCAGTTACACTCCTGCAGTGGGAGACTTGTGAGGCACAATCTCATGGCCTCCAGGAACCACTGATCTTCCTGTGAGCCTACCTACCTCTGTGACAGGAGGGAAGCCAGAGTTCATAAGTAACTTTCACGAAATATTCAGTTCTTAGTTTTCAGCACAAGATCTAATTCTCTCTTGCCGACTCAAGGACTTTGATCCAGTGATTACCTCTTTCCTCCTGTATCACCAGTTTCTCCTAGCTACTTGATTATTTCCACCCATATTCAGTAACATCTTCCTGACCTCACTTGTGCTCAGGTGCCTGCCATTTCTTTGCTCCTTGTCAAAATAAAAAAGTGAGGGGGCACCTTCTTGAAAGAGTTGTCTATACTTTGCCTCCACTTCTTCATTTCCCATCTCTTTGCTCACAGTAAGAGCAGCTTTACTTTTTATAATTAATTAAAACATTTAAGTATAATGTGGTGGGAAGTGGGAAGAAAGCAAATAGCATCTAAAGTTACATCATTTTGTTAGGGGGAAGGGAAGGACAGGGAGCGATTTGTTAAAGCAGTGGTCCCCAACATTGTTGGCACCAGTGACTGCTTTTGTGGAAGACAGTTTTTCCATGGATGGGGCGTGGGGAAGATGGAGGGCGGGAATGGTTTCAGGATGAAACTGTTCCACCACAGATCATCAGGCATTAGATTTTCATGTGGAGTGTGCAACCTCCATTCCTGGCACGTGCAGTTCACAATAGGATTCGCACTCCTACGAGAATCTAATGCCACTGACCTGACAGGAGGTGGAGCTCACGCGGTAATGCTGCATTGGGGGTTGGGGACCCCTGTGTTAAAGCATACAAATTACAGCTAGATAAAAGGAAGAAGTTCTAGTGTTCTATAGCACTGTAGGATGACCGTTAGTTAATAATGATACACAGTTTCAAATAGCTAGGAGGAGGATATTGAATGTTCCCAACACAAAGAAATGAGAAACCTTTGAGACAATGGATGTGCTAGTTACCTGATCTGGTCACTACACATTATACGTATAAAAACAGCACTATGTACCCCATAAATACATACATTATTATGTCAATTAAAAATATTTTCCTCAAAAAATGACATCATTTGAAGTTCGGTGACTTCATTTGTCTTTACATGCATACATACTGGTTTACATAGAAAGAACATTTTCCAGGCTGCTTTTCTATTGTTCCTCTTCACCTGGTTTGGAGGGCCTTGTTTCTTTCTCTTTACATCTCTTGATACAGCCCCACACCCCCTGTCATGTACACACATGTGCATGCCTGCACACACAATGTAAACAGAGTGGTATGTATACTGCTGAAACGGGGAAGGTTCCCTTATCCCCTCGCAGGGCATGCGATGGGCGTGTGGCTTGCTGCTTTGGTGTTCTGCTGCTCACACCTCTGGGGGAGCATGCAGACGGGCAGGTTGCGGGGCTCCGATCACGGGCAGTGTCTAGGGGCGAATGTTTACAGCTGAAGCCCCAGTGGGTGTGTGTTACGGGGTTCTCGTTCAGTTTAGCTGTCTGTAGGCAGCTTGTGTTAATCAGCTCAATGAGACCCCTGCCTTATTGCAAGGACAGAGGCTTTCTGCCTCCTGGGTTTCTTGCCTTGGTGTACCCGAAGAATCAGATCACACATGGGCTTGGAGAATGAATGCGAGGTTTTATTGAGTGGAAATAGCTCTCAGCAGATGGGGGAGCCAGAAGGGAGATGGTTTTCCCCTGGAGTCGAGCACTTGGCAGCCAGGCTCTCCTCCAACCGTCCCGGCCAAACCCCCAAACTCCGCGTGTGCTTCTCTCGACGTCCAGCCGCCTGTGTGTTCTTTTGCTGATGTGTGTTCCTCTCGATGCCCAGTCACTTGTTGTCTCTGCCCACTAGGGTCCTGGGGTTTTTATAGGCACAGGATGGGGTCGTGGCAGGCCAGGGTGTTCTTGGGAAATGCAACATTTGGGCATGAAGGCAGGAGTGCCTGTGCTCACCTAGGTCTGTGCGCACAGGCCCGAGGGTGGATCCCTAGCCAGGGACCAGCCTTTCTCTACCCAGCCCTTCCCTGCCCCCCCTTCCATATCACTGCCAGGCTTTCCTCCATGTTCTCAATCACACAACCTTTATTTTGTTTGCATAACAATAGGATCATACTATAGATGCTTCTCTGTAGGTTGCTTTTCTCCTTTAACAGAACCTTGTGGAAAAATCTTCTAAATCATTTAGCACCCACTATGTGGTCAACGTACAATCATTTATTCAACCACTCCCTGTTCACCTGTTGGTAGGTGTTAATTCTCTATTTCTAGAGTTTTGCCACAGCAACTAATGATGCCATCTCTCTGTCTGTATATCTGTATCTATCTATATGTATAGCATCTCTATCTATTCATCCATCCATCTACACCCACACGCATACACATATCCTGATATATTGGTCCTCCCCATCCCACCATGTGGAACGATTCCTAACGGTGGGGTTGCTGGGTCCAAGAGAGTCTGTATTTTTAATTTTAACAGATTTTGCCAGATTGCTTAAAAAGAAACTATAGCGATTTACATTTCCTTCAGAACTGCAAGATAATTTCCTTCCTATCCCTGACCCCCATTCCTTCTCAAGAGTATTATTACCCTTTGGAGTTTTTGCTGTCAGGTGAAAAATGCTGCTACACCATGACTTTGGTTTGTATCTTTCTGACTGACAGAAGCTCTGGCTGAGCTTCCTTAGTGGATAATCACCTGATTTTGAAGCCAGTCTGCCTGAGTTTGAATTCCAGTTTCATCACTTACCAATGATACAACCTTAGTAGATTTATCTACCCTCTCTGTGCCAATTTCCTCATCATCTCCATAACGGGATAATAATAGTTCTTGTTTCACAGGGTTATTGAGGAGGTTTAGTTATTAGAAAAGTTCCTGGCATATAATAAACACTAAAAAAACGTTGTTTTAAATATGTTGATTGGCCGTTTGGATATGCTCTTTTGTGAGACGACTGAAACTTTGCTCAGTTTCTATCGGGGTAGTTTGTCTTTTCCCCTGCTATCTAGTTTCAGATCTTGTTTCACCTCTTTCACTACATATTTTAAAGTTTTCTTCATATAGGTCATGTTCTTCTCCCATTAAATTTATATAATTTGTCACTACAATGAATAGATTCTCTTGCCAACAGATGATAACTATTATAGAGAAAGTATTGATTTGTAAATATTTGTCCAGTATAGAGCCATCAAATTCTCTTATTCTGGTAAAACTTGTTGGGCTTTCTTAGCACATAATATGATTTAAAGAGAGGATTTTGTCCCTTTTTCCCCAGCATTTGTACTGTTTATTTTATGTTTCTCTCATGATGTCAGAACTTTCAAAACAGTGATGAACAGCGGGCATCTCTGTCTTGTTCTTGATTTTGGTAAAACGAGAAATTCTTTGCGGACAACAGCTTTGATCAATGCCCGTGGAATTTCGTCTTGCTTGTGATCTTCCATTCTTGATTGCCTGCACTGTGGATTTCAGACTTGTTTAGCCAGCCTCCACGATCACACAATCCAATTCTTTTAAAATAAATCTCTTTAGAGGAGAGTAAGCACGCACATGCACGTGTGCGCACACACACACACACACACACACACACACACACACACCCCTCCTTCTGGTTCTGCTTCTCTGGTTGAATCCGGACTGATACATACAAATACTAATTATTTAGAAGGCTGTGGTAATATTTGGACAAATTAAGAAGCTTATTTTGAGCGTCAAAGTCAAAATTTAAAACTTAGAATTAAAGTTTAGGTGTAGCTCCAAATTTTACACGCTCACGCCTGTAATCCCATGAAAGGCTGGAAAATTGCTTGAGCCCAGGAGTTCAAGACCAGCCTGGGCAACACAGCAAGACCCTGTCTCAAAAAAATAAAATAAAATAAAATAAAATAAAATAAAATTTAGAACATCAGCTGCTCATTTCTAATATAATATATTTTACATTTCATATGTGAATTTACCAGTAGAAAAAATCTGCTTAGGGCAGGTTATTTAAATCCACACACTTTTATTAAATCCTTTATATATAAACTAACTACAGTCATATAAGGTTTCATGTGAAAAGTTTCATGCAAAATAATACTTGACACATAAATATATTTTCAGAATTTCACTTTCATTCTTACAAAGGATTATAACAGTCAAATTTAGTTTTTCATGCCATGTAAGAGTACATAGAGTACCTTTAAAATGAAGGCAAACACATAAAGGATTAATTTAATAACACACTGTATATGAAAATATTTCTATTTTGGAGAGGGTTCAAGAATATTTTTCAGATCTTGAACTCAATGCCTACTATGAGCTTATATTTAGTATTCTTAATACTAAATACTAACACTCTCAATCTAAGTATAAAATACACTGTTTCTCTATATACATATATCTGTAATAAACAAACTGTCAGTTTTCCTAATTCTTCTTATGTTTTCGAGGGTTGTGAAGTGGTTTATAAATATATTGTCTATAAATCTTCACGTACTGAAAGTAGCTCAAAATGAGAATAGTGAAGAAGAGCAGCATCAGGACGAAGAGGAAAGCAGCCACCAGGTAGACACTTGGACTGGAATCAGAAAAATAAGAGGCATTAGAAGTCATTGTTCACACTTTGGCTGTTAATTTCTTTAAACAATTTTTGAATGGCTAGCTACTATGCCATTGACAGAGAACAAAGATGAATAAGACGCACCGTCCAGCCTCACGGTGTTTACCTTTTAGTGTTTGAGGCTGACCAGGCGGGAAAATAGACAAGGTGATCAATGCAGTGAGAGGAGGAAATGAAGTTGTCTTTTTTTTTTTTTTTTTGCGATGGAGTCTCACTCTGTCACCCAGCGGGGAGTGCAATGGTTCACTGGAACGCCTGTCTCCTAGGTTCAAGCCATTCTCCTGCTTCAGCCTCCCAAGTAGCTGAGATTACAGGCAGGCACCACCACGCCCAGCTAATTTTTGTATTTTTAGTAGAGTTGGGGTTTCACTATGTTGGCCAGGCTGGTCTCGAACTCCTGACCTCAAGTGATCTGCCCACCTCGGCCTCCCAAAGTACTGGGATTACAGGCGTGAGCCACCGCGCTCAGCCAGAAATGAAGTTTGAGGGAACCACACATCATGGAAGGCGTTCCAGTAGAGGGGATATTTGAACTGAGCCTGGGCAGGAAGTTCTGTGGGAGTCACACATCATGGAAGGCCAGGGAAGGGGATGTCTGAGCTAAGCTTGGGTAGGAGTTAGCTCAGTATGAGTATGAGTGGGAGTAGGAGTTAGCTAGTTAGCTAGATAAGAGTGGAGGAAGAGATCGAGGTGGGAACAGTGTTTCAGACAAAGGCAGAAGGGTATGGGAAGGCATGAAAACTTGGTAACACCTCAGGACCACTCCTAGACATTCTGGAACTGCAGCTCCTTCAGTATGACAGGAGCTCAGGTGCCAAAGGGAGTGGTTAGAGATGAGGACTGATAGGTGGGCAGGGCCAGATTGGCAAAACTGCTTAAGTTAAGCTAGAGAGTGGGTTTTAGCCTAAGGCAGGAGAGAGCTTCAGAGGGTTGATATAGGATTGACATTTTACAGGGATGATTCTGGAGTGTGAAGAATGGAAGAAAGCAAAGCATGCGTGTGAAGGTAGAAAAAGCAATTATGAAGTATTTGAATAATCGAGGTAAGCTATAATGAGAGTCTTAACAAAATTAATGGCGGAAGAAATGGAGAGAAGTGGATATATTTAAGACACATTTAGAAGTTAGATTGGATCGATCTTGGTGATTATTAAGATGTGGGGTTTGAGAAATATGAAGGAATAAAGGTGATCTTCCTTGCATGCTTTGGAGTTAGGTTACTGTGAGAATGGTGTTACCTTCACGGATGGAGGAAATTCAGAGGGAGGAGCACTTTTTTGAGGGCATGTGCGTATATGGTTGGCTTACTTTGGTGCATATTTAATTTGAGGTACCTGAGGGTCAGCCAGGTGTGTGTGCGTGTCTGTGTGTGTGTGTGTGCAGCACTTACTCTAGCCAGATATCTGCCTCTTCACCTGGAACTCTGCATGGGTACTTTTTTTGTTGGTTTGTTTGTTTTTTGAGATGAGGTTTCTCTCTGTTGCTCAGGCTGGAGTGCAGTGGCATGAATATGGCTCACTGCAGCCTCGACCTTCTACGTTCAAGCGATCCTCCCACCTCAGCCTCCCAAGTAGCTGGGACTATAGACATGCACCACGAAACCTGGCTATTTTTTTGGGTGAGGAATAGAGATGGGGTCTTGCCATGTTGCCCAGGCTGGTCTTCAACTCTAGGCTCAAACAGTCTGTCCAACCTAGCCTCCTAAAGTGCCGGGATTAAGGTATGAGCCACCACGCTGGGCCTGCATGAATGCTTCTGATCAGAGTGGATTTATTTCTTAAGCCAGACACTGTGCTGTTTTCTATTTGGTGTCCTGGTATCTGACATTAGTTTTGGAGTCCCTTTTAAACCATAATTATTTGTTTTCAATGTTATAGTTTCCCCAGGCTTCCTTTGTCTCACCTTTCTCCTCTGTGGCAATAAACTTAATCTGTCCCCAGTGTATGATTTCCTTCTGAGAACTTAGTTAAGCCACTTCACCATCTCATATCTGCCTGACACTGTGCATGGTTCTAGCAATACAATGACGAGTGAAAACAGACATGGTCCCCATCCTTGGGGAGCTTACATTTTAGCGGGATATAATCATTAATCAAATAATGAGAAAATAAATAAAAAATTGCAACTGAGGTAAGAACTAAGGAGAAATATACAATGCAATGAAAGCTTCTGAAAGCAGGATTTAACCTGGTAAATGGATCAAGAAATGCCTTCATGGGAAAAAGGTAATTATCTTAAAATCTGATGAATAAATAGAAGTGAAGTTGGCACAGTGAAGTTGGTAAAGTGAAGTGTAGGTAAATAGAGGACGGAGGATTCTAGATAGAGGAAATGGCATGTGCAGAGGTCCTGCTATGGGAGAGAGCATGGAGAAGGACAGGACTGAAAGAAAGTTGCTCGGTCTGGAGCTGAGAAAATGTGAAGGACATGATCCAAGATGAGACTCGAAAAGTAGGTAGGGGCTAGATCATGCAAGGATTTGTAGGCCAAAACTCCTTAAGGAGTTTTAATTTTATGGACAGAAATGTGAATGTTTCAAGCTACTAAAACTAGCATTGAAAAGATTACTCTAGCTCCAGTGAGGAGAATAAGCTAGAAGAACATAGGAGTGGATGAGGGGAGATTGGTTAGGAGTCTCTTGTAGAGATAATGGTAGCCTGGATTAAGGAGGTGGTGATGGAGTAAGAAGTGGATCCATTCAAGGATGATTTAGGGGATTAAATGAATGGCAGATAGTTGTGGATTGGATGAACTGGAGAGAAACAGAGAGAGAGAGAGAGAGAGACAGAGAGAGAGAGAAATGAATGTAAATCCTTGGTTTCTTTTTTTTCTTTTTCTTTTTCTTTTTTTTTTTTTTTCAGACAGAGTCTTGCTCTGTCGCCCAGGCTGGAGCGCAGTGGCCGGATCTCGGCTCACTGCAAGCTCCGCCTCCCGGGTTCCCGCCATTCTCCTGCCTCAGCCTCCCGAGTAGCTGGGACTACAGGCGCCCGCCACCTCGCCCGGCTAGTTTTTTGTATTTTTTAGTAGAGACGGGGTTTCACTGTGTTAGCCAGGATGGACTCGATCTCCTGACCTCGTGATCCGCCCGTCTCGGCCTCCCAAAGTGCTGGGATTACAGGCTTGAGCCACCGCGCCTGGCAATCCTTGGTTTCTTGGTTTTGGTTTTGGTTTTTGACTCCTAGAAGTTTGGCTTGCATAGTTGGATGTACATTTCATGGGACAAATTGTACAGGGAACAAGTGTAGGAGGGAACATTGGAAAACAGGGTACCATTCCTATCATAGCCTGTGTGAATGGATTTTCCTGGAGCTGTGCAAGGACAATCTATATGGCTATATGTAATTGCCCTAATGCATCAGTTTTAAGATAGATTAAATAATGGGATAGGGGAGCATGGGATAAGATCATGAGTTCACTTTTGGACATGTCCAGTTTGACTAGTCTTTGAAACATCTAAGAGAAGAAGTTAAGTAGACAGTAGGATGTATGCCTCTGGACTGTTTTAGAGATATTATTTGGGAGTCATGTGCATATAGATGCTAATTGAAGTCATAATTGTAGATGAGCTTGCCAGAGTGAGAAGCTCAGGACAGAACTGAGCCTCATGGGAGGCCAACATTTAAAGGCTGCTAAAGGAGGGTGAGGCTTTCTTTACTAGGGAGAGAGAGGCAGTGGCTACAGAAGTTTGGGAAAACCCATGGTGTGATGCAACAGCCAAAGGAAGAGTCAACACTGAAGAAAGATCTAATAAAATGAGGACTGAAAAATATCTATTAGCTCAATGAAGGCCAAAGCTATTTCAATGAACTAATCGGTAGAGTGAAAAGACAGAAACCTGACTGGATGGACTGGAGAAAGACGGCCGGACACAGGGAAATGGAGGCTGTGAGTGTAGACAATACCTTTGAGAAGTTTTGTGCTGCAAAGGAGAAACTTGAGGGTCACTAAAAACCTATTAGAAGGATCTAGTTGAGAGGGAGAGTTGAATATACAGAAGAGAGAAGGAATAATTGATTTGAAAGTTTCCTCAGTAAGTGGAGAGGAACAGATAGGGTGCAAAGCATAGGTGGAAGAATTAGATTTTAAATCTAATTTCCTTTGTTGTAACAGGGCGGAAAGAGGAGAGGATGGATATAGATGTTAGTAGATTTTTATGTTTGCAATCAGGCATAGAGGGCGTTCCTATCTCATGGTTTCTAATTTCTTTGTGAGGGTGGAAACAAGCTCACCTGATGATGATTAAGGAAAGCAGGTTTGAGGAGGAAGCGAATTAGATACAATCTGAAATCGCTGTTACAGAGAATGCTGCTCAGGTGTAGTCACAGAGAAGGTAGGTAGTTGGGGATTTGCCAGAGGGAGGAACAAATCCCAGAGGGGTGAGGGTGTACTTTCAAGCATACTTGAAATAATGGACTTTGAAATGTAAGGAAATGCAAAGTACAAAAAGAGAGATTGAAAGTAGAGGGGGAGGTTCCAGGAAGGGTGAAGGGGGGTTGCGGTGGGTGTCGTGGAATTAACAAGCTGGAAGGACAGGAGGTCATGATCAGAGAATGGGATGTGATGTCTGGATTGATGCTTTAGGAAGCAGAGAAGTTACAAGTAATGACAGTGTGGAAGGTGTAACTATGGGAGTGGACGGCTGAAGTACAGTAGAGGGAGGTCACCAAGGATGTGGTAAGGCCACGATTTTGGATGCTGGATGTGAACACTGATAGTGGGACTTGATGTGGAGAGGAAAACAGTGTGACGGGGCCAAAGTTGAGAATGAACGCAGCAGACTGTAGAGAGGGCATGGTGATGAAGACAGACAGCTGGGGCTGCAGCAGACGCCATGAGCCTCAAAGGATCAGGGTATGTTTTGTGTTGGTTTTTTTGGTTTTGTTTTACAAGAACGAGGATAAATAATGATCTGGAATTGGTAATAGGACCCCCTGAGGTACATGGGAGGTGAAAGAAAAGAGCACCACTTGAGAGGCCTGAAGGTGGAGCAGTGCCTTTGGGGGAGAGCCTGGTTACCCCTAAGGAGAGAGAGGGAGGGCTCAGAGGATGGTTGAAGGTCTGGGTGAGTTTGCTGGTTAAAGGATGGCAATTCCAGAAAGCAGAATGGAAACGCTGGGAAAGTGGTGGGGTTGAGTGCTGGGCTAGGAGCAAGGAAGTGCTGAGCTCTCCGCCTTCTACAAACTCATCTCCAGTTGCTGCTCAAGAAAAGGGCTCCATTATTAAGAAAATAATCAACCACCAGCCAGCCCTGGTGTGCCTCTGCTACCCTTCAGGGCCCAGGTGTTACTGGAGGCGAACCTACAGTCACTAACCAAATAGACTGTCCTGTATGCTATGCTCATGTGCCCTGGCTGCTGGACTCTAGCTGCTGGCAGGTGAGAGCGGGGGCAGGTGGGTGAGATCCTCCTCCTTTGCCTTTCTCCCCGCTAACTCACTTGACTCTTTCTTTGGTTGATGGGTACTTGGGTGGGCATATACCTTAATATTCATCTAAATCAAACATACCAACCCAATGACCTTAATATTCACCTAAGTCAAACATACCAACCCCATGAGGAAGAAAAGTCACTAGGAAAAGGTTGTGCCTGTTTCCCAAGGTTATGTAGAAACAACTCTTGACTTCATTTGCAGGTTATTCCCACTATTAACACTGTCAGCACAGAAACCCCAGGAGCCAGTCATATTTACAGTGGGGCCATGAATAGCTTAATTGTTTTCCTTATGCCCTTATTTAACAATCCTCCCCCGCCCCCCCCCAAAAAAAACCCATAAAACAAAACCCAAACACCCAAATTCCAAACACCAGGCCCAAAACGGAGTAGCAAAGTCATCTGGGGTTCTAACTTTAGTATCAGGACTTTTCATTCTGCCCTCCAAAGGAACTGGAGCTGAGTCCAGGGAAATCCCTTTACTGTTTCCTAAATGCATCAGAATGAGGGTCTGTGGTTGAAAGCTGACCCAGGCTTAGAGCAGAGGGCACAGCCACTGTCACCTCCCAATCCCTACCACTGCATTCTGGCCTCTGCCAACTAGGAGCAGCTGAGACATGTTTGAAAGGAAGACAGTGGCTGTTGAGTGGGATGGCACGAAAGGGGACCTTTGCTGCAGTAACAGTTCTCAGGAATTCCTTCCTGCTGTGTCCCTGTATACACACTATACACATATACAATTTTTAGGATGTCATATAGGGGGCAGAAGTAACAGGGCTTCAGGGAAACAGCAAGTTTCTGTCATTGGGAAGACAGATTTCACAGATAGCCCCCAAAAATCTAAATATAGACTGATTAAAACCATTGACTCTGCAGTGAACACTTCATACGTTTTTTTTTTGTTGTTGTTTTAGGATTCATTTGCATATTATATACTGTATAATAATATTTTTCATAATAAGATTTAAGCGGGGGACCCTGAAAACTGAGTGCACAGGCTGCTTCTGGGAGACACGGGGGGGAGGTGCTTTTCCTTTTTAGCTGCCACTTGTATCTTAGAAATTCCGTAATTAAAGTCCAGTTAGGCACCGCTCATTACCTGGGAATCAGTCCAAACGTCTCTATTGCAAACATAGCTGTTAGGTTGCAGAAACTGCAAATTGGAAAAATAATATTAAAGATTAAATTAATTACAATATATTTTAAAATGCTCTCCATGTCCCTATGGTAACAATCAAACCATATATAATCCTAGTTAAGGTGTCATTTTCTTGACAAAGGACAGATGGATACATGCACAGAAGAGCTGTGATTATTTTTCCCTGTGTATGTCTCAGGCTTCTCTGAGATTCCTCAAGAGCTGTCTATCCTAACAGCCTTACATCATTTTGATAGTGGTTCCCAAGGCAACAGTAATAATGATATTACTAATAAGTATTGGCAGAAATAAAAAAAGCTAACCTTTATGAGCATTAATACTTTTTGAACATGAATACTGGCAGGCACGGTGGCTCACACCTGTAATCCCAGCCTTTGGGAGGCCAAGGCGGGCAGATCACCTGAGGTCAGGAGTTCGAGACTGACCTGACCAACAGGGTGAAACCCCTTCTCTACTAAAAATACAAAAATTAGCCAAGTGTGGTGGTGAGCACCTGTAGTCACAGCTACTGGGGAGGATGAGGCAGGAGAATCTCTTGAACCTGGGAGGTGGAGCTTGCAGTGAGCTGAGATCGTGCCACTGCACTCCAGCCTAGGTGACAGAGCGAGACTCCGTCTCAAAAAAAAAAAAAAAAAAGAATACTAATTGAGCATTGCTATGTACTAGGCAGCATGCCAAATGCTTACATGCATTATCTCAGTGGATCTTCACAGCAACCCTTCCTTTTAGATGAGGAAACTCAGATGAGGAGCTCAGGCAGGTTAAGCAACTTGAGAAAGTTTACACAGCTGTTAGCAGCAGAGCTGGGATTTGAAGTCAGGTTTTTCTGACCTGGCTGCCCATCATGTTCACCTGATGTAGGCTAACTCCTTCAGGAAGCTGAGTATTAGGGGCTCCATATATAAAACTGTTATTTCTAATGTTACTGAATGTCTCTCATTGTTAGGTATATTGCTTGGAATGAGGCAGGATATAGCCAAGCAAACATTTCTGACATGATTTCACCCACCTACATGTGGGAGAGCATAGAAGAAAGGAACTTATTTTTATTGCATATTTGTTATGTGCTTGGCAAAGTTAGAGATTTTTACCCAGATGCTTCATTTACTCCTCAGAATACTGTAAGGCAGGTATTATCAACCCATTCTACAGATACAGAACGGCTCAAAAAGAGTAAGCAATTTTCTTTAGACTGAGTAGCTAGTAGTGGCAAAACTGGGATTCAAACCAAAGTAGACGCTACCAATATATCAACTTGTGGAACTGGCATGTAAATACGACCCACAAACAACAATACAAGATACAGGGTTGTACATTCTAGGCTGGGCGTGGTGGCTCACGTCTATAATTCCAGCACTTTGGGAGGCCGCGGCGGGTGGAATGCCTGAGCTCAGGAGTTGGAGACCAGCCTGGGCAACATGGTGTAACCCCATCTCTACTAAAATACAAAAAATTAGCCAGGTGTGGGGGTCTGTGCCTGTAGTCCCAGCTACTCAGGAGGCTGAGGCAGGAGAATTGCTTGAACCGGGGAGGCGTAGGTTGCAGTAAGCGGAGATCGCACCACTGCACTTCAGCCTGGGCAACAGAGCGAGACTCCATCACACACACAAAAAAAGTGAGTGATGTAGACACCTATCACGGGAATGTTCACAGCACAGCAAAGGGGCTTGTGTTGGGTCCTAAAGGTTGGAGTTTAAGGATGAAGGGCTAGCGTATTCCGGGTATAGGGAGAGATGAGCAAAGGTTTGGAAATGGGAATGAATTTGTGAGGTTTAAGGGATGATGAGGAAATATCTTGGTGCATGTAGAGGGAAGTAGTGGGGGTTTTGTGTGTGTGCGTGTGTGTGTGTGTGTGCGCGCGCGCACGCTCATGCCTGCACATGTGCCCTCCAGAGGGCTTTAATGAAAGGCTTAGGAATTTTGACTTTACCCTTTTTGTATAAAGGAGTCATGACTGTTTTTGAAATTAATTCAATAGCAGGTTGTAAAGTGATTTGGAATAGAGAGATTAGATGTAAGTGGGCCATATGGAAAAATTATACACAGTAGTGAACAACCCAGTTCTGTGATAATGAGGTCTAGACTTGGGTAGAGGCGACTGTGACTGAACAGAGGGCCAAGCTGACCTTTGACAGAATGAAATTGTGATGGAATCAGCATGGAATAAGTGCAGTTGGAACTTTACGGTTTAAAAGTTGTTAGATGTAGTATTGTCAAATGGACTGAGTTGGTTGATAGCGTAGTTTAGGTATTCTGTATCCTTACTGATTTTCTCTCTACTTGTCCTATCAGTTTCTGAGAAAGGAGTGTTGAAATCAACTGTAGTTAGGGGTTTGCTGTTTCTCTGTTTAGTTCTATCCGTTTTTGTTTCATGTATTTTGAAGCATGTATTTAGGATTATTATACCTTCTTTATCACTATGTAATGAGTCTCTTTATACCTTCCTTGTTCTGAATTCCTGTTATCTGCTATTAATATGGCCAATCTGGCTTTCTTTTGACTACTATTAGCATGGTTTATCTTTTTTTTATCCTTTTACTTTTAATCAATCTGTGTCTTCATATTTAATATGGGCTACTGGTAGACAGTCTGTAGTTAGGTCTTATATTTTTATCCAATATGATAATTTCTGTTCTATAATTGGGATATTTAGACCATTTGTATTTAATGTAATTGTTGATATCTTTAAAGTTAAATCTACAGTCTTGCTATTTGTTTGCTATCTTAAGTTGTTATGTATTTTTAAGTTATATATTTTGTTTTCCTTTCTCCTTTTCTTCTGTCCTTTTTTGTATTAATAAAGTATTTTTTAATGATTCCACATTATCTCCCCTATTAGTTTTTATAGGATTGTATCTTTTTCTAATGTGGTTGGTATACAATATCAATCATTAATTTGTCACATTTTTCTGGCAAATAATATACCATTTAGTGGTATATTATTTGTATATATACCATTCTTAAGTATAAGAATCTTAAAACACTATGCTTCTAATCCCTACTGCCATCCTTTGTGCCATTGTTTTCATCCATTTTACTTTTATTACATGTTGTAAACCCCAAAGTATTTTCTTTTCTTTCTTTCTTTCTTTCTTTTTTTTTTGAGACAGAGTCTCACTCTATTGCCCAGGCTGGAGTGCAATGGCACGATCTCGGCTCACTGCAACCTCCGCCTCCCAGGTTCAAGTGATTCTCCTGCCTCAGCTTCCCAAGTAGCTGGCATTACAGGTGTGCACCACCATGCCTGACTAATTTTTGTATTTTTAGTAGAGAAGGAGATTCACTATGTTGGCCAGGCTGGTCTCAAACTCCTGACCTTATGATCCGCCCGCTTCGGCCTTCCAAAGTGCTGGGATTACAGGTGTGAGCCACCGCACCTCGCCACACAAATTTTCTTTAACTATTTTTGCTTTTTTTTTTTTTTAACCTTTTGAGACAGGTTCTCACTCTATCACCCAGGTTAGAGTGCAGCGGCACCATCACAGCTCACTGCAGCTTCAACTTCCCAGGCTCAACCAATCCTCCCACCTCAGCCTCATTTGGGTGAATAACCAGTGAGTACCACTGCTGGGTCATACAGTAAGAGTATGTTTAGTTTTGTAAGAAACTGCCACACAACTGTCTTCCAAAGTGGCTGCACCATTTGGGCTTCTATCAGCAATGAATGAGAGTTCCTGATGTTCTATATCCTTGTCAGATTTGATATTGTCAGTGTTCTGGATTTTGACCATTCTGGTAAGTGTGTAGTGGTATCTTATTGTTTTAATTTGCATTTTCTAATGACATAGGATGTTGAACATTTTTTTCATATGCTTTTTTGTCATCCATTTATCTTCTCTGGAGAGGTGTCTGTTCAGATCTTTTGCCCCTTTTTAAATCTGGTTATTTTCTTATTGTTGCGTTCTAAGCCTTCTTTGTATATTCTGGATACCAATTATTTACTGGAGCTCTCTTTTGTAAATATTTTCTCCCAGTGTGTGGCTTGTCTTCTCATTCTCTTGACATTGTCTTTCACAGAGCAGAAGTTTTTAATTTTAATGAAGTCCAACTTTTTTCAACGATTTATTTCATGGATCATACCATTGGTGTTTATCCAAAGAGTCATAGCCATATGCAAGGTTCATTAGTTTTTTCCCTATATTAGTTATCTTCTATGAGTTTCAGAGTTTTGCATTTTATATTTAGGTCTATGATTTCTGTATTCCTTTTTTTTTTTTAATTTTAGAGATGGGATCTCGCAATGTTGAGCTTGAAGTTCTGGGTTTAAATGATCCTCCCCAACAGCCTCCTGGGTAGCCGGTACTACAGGCATGCAACACCATGCCCAGCTGTAAGACTTGTACTGAGGGGTTATGTTGCAAGCATAACCCAGTTCTTATCATGCTCCATCTCAACAAACATGTTGTTTCTAGACAGATTTAGATGCTACCAAGTTCTAGAGAGCAATAGGAAGTCAGACTCAGGAGAGGAAGGGTCACACAGAAAAATACTGCAGAATTTTGCCAACTCATATAAGCAATACCCTAAGAATATGTATAGAAAAATGAATTCTGAGAGTGTTAGACCAAGGAAGTGAAAGCATAACTAGGTCATATTCAATTGTTGATACGAATGCATTAAATGAACTTGCGAGGACAGCCACCCTTTATTATAATGTATAGAAATAAGTAGAAAGACTTAGAGAAAGGGAAATACTGGAGTGAACTGATCAGATGTGAACTACTCATTCTCCCTGAGATAGGACCCATACGATACTCCATTCACCATGGCATTGAGAACTACATCAGTGACAGAAACACCAAAGGTGTTGATCCCGGAACACTTAACAGTAAACTTCCTGCATGCTAACCTTCATCTCAAAGTTTCCTTTCCAGGGAACCTGCAACACCTAGAAGAACTCAATTTAAGTTTTTTGGTTGAACTGTTCAGAAGACTGATGAGTTTTGGGGACTGATAGAATATTATGAGATTAATCAATAGTGGCTATTTCCCCC